AGTGCTTCAAGCATTCTCACTTTCAGCAAGCAAGTTGTGTCATCTGTGTATCGCAGGTTGTTAATGAGCTTTCCTCCAATCCTGATGCCATGTTCTTCTTGATAGTGTCCACCTTCTTGGATTATTTGTTCAGCACACAGATTGAATAAGTATGATGAAAGGATACAACAACCCTGATGCACTCCCTTTCTGATTTTAAACCATGCAGTATCCCCTTGTTCTGTTTGAACAACAGCCTCCTGGTCTATGTACAGGTTTATCATGAGTACGATCAAGTTTCTGGAATTCCCATTCCTCCCAGTGTTATCCATAATTTACTATAATCCACACAATTGAATGCTTTTTCATAGTCGATAAAACACAAACATCTTTCTGGTATTCTTTGCTTTCAGCTAAGATCCACCTGACATCAACAATGATATCCCTCATTCCACGTTCTCTTCTGAATCCACCTTGCATTTCTGGAAGTTCTCTGTTGATATACTGCTACAACCAGTTTTCAATTATCTTCAATAAGATTTTACTTGCTTGTGGTATTAATGACATTGTTTGATAATTTCCACATTCTGTGAGATCACCTTTTCTTTGGAATGGTTACAAATATGGATTTCTTCCAATCATTTGGCCTGGTAGTTTTCTTCCAAATCTCTTAGCATAGCCAAGTGTCTCCAACATGGTATCCGTTTGTTGAAACATCTCACTGGGTATTCTGTCATTTCCTAGAGCCTTGTTTTTCACCAGTTCCTTCAGTGAAGCTTCGACTTCTTCCTTCAATTCCATTGGTTCTTGATCATATGACATCTCCTGAAATGGATGAACATTGACCAATTTTTTTGGGTACAGTGACTCTGTATTCCTTTCATCTTCTTTTCATGTCTCCCACATCATTCAATTTTTGCCCATAGAGTCTTTTCATTATTGCCACTTAAGGCTTAAATTTTTTCCTCAGGTCTTTCAGCTTGACAAATGCTGAGTGTGTTCTTCCCTTTTGATTTTTTAAGTCCAAGTCTTTGCACATTTCATTATAATAATTGACTTTGTCTTCCGAGCTGTTCTTTGAAATCTTCTTTTCAGCTCTTTTATCTTGTCATTTCTTCCATTTGCTTTAGCTACTCCCCATTCAAGGGCAATTTTCACAATCTCTTGTGACATCCATTTTGGTCTTTTCTGTCTTTCCTGTCTTCTTAATAACCTTTTTGCTTTCTTCATGGATGATGTTCTTGATGTCATCCACAGTTCTTCTGGTTTTCTGTCATTGGTGTTCAGTGGATCAAATCTGTTCTTTAAATGGTCTCTGAATTCAAGAGGGATATAATCAAGGACATATTTTGGCTTTTGTGGACTTGTTATAATTGTCTTCAACTTCAACTTTAACTTGCATATGAGCTGTTGGTGGTCTTTTCCACAGTCAGCTCCTGGCCTAGTTTTGGCTGAAGATATTAAGCTTCTCCATTGCCTCTTGCCACAGATGTAGTCAGTCTGATTCCTGTGTACTCCATCTGGCAGAGTTCACGTGTATAGTCGCCATTGGTGTTGTTGAAAAAGGGTATTTGCAATGAGTAAGTCATTGGTCTTGCAAAATTCTATATGTGATCTCCAGCATTATTTTTATCACCAAAGCCATATTTTCCAGCTACCAGTGATTCTTCTTTATTCCCAACTTTTGCATTCCAATCACCACCAGTGATAATTATCACATCTTGGTTGCATGTTTCGTCAATTTCAGACTGCAGAAGTTGATTAAAATCTTCAACTTCCTCATCTTTGGCTTTGCTGGTTGGTGTGTAAACTTGAATAACTGGTCTTCCTTGTAGGCATATGGATATTATCCTATCACTGACAACTTTATACTTCGGGATAGATCTTGAAACATTCTTTGTGATGATAAATGCCACGCCATATTCCTCTTCAATTTATCATTCCTGGCATAGTACATCACATGGTTGTCTGATTCAAAATGGCCAAAACCTGTCCATTTTAGTTCACTAATACCTAGGATATGGATCTTTATGCATTCCATTTCTGACAACTTCCAGTTTTCCTAGATTCATACTTCGTACATTCCATATTCTGATTATTAATGGATGTTTGCAGCTGTTTCTTCTCATTTTGAGTCATGCCACATCAGCCAATGGCGATCCCAAATGCTTTACTCCATCCACATCATTAAGGTCGGCTCTACTCTTAGGAGCCAGCTCTTCTCCAGTTGTATCTGAGTGTCCTCTGACCTCAGGGGCTCATGTTCTGGCACTGTATCAGACAGTGTTTTAGGGCTATTCATAAAGTTTTCAAGTAGTATATCAGTGTTTCACTGCTGTTCATAAAGTTTTCATTGGCCAGTTCTTTGAGAAGTGGATGGCCCCTTCCTTCTCCTGAGTCTGTCTTATTCTGGAAGCTCCACTGAAATCTGTCTACCATGGGCAACCCTGCTGGCATTTGACACACCAGTGGCATAGCCTCCAGCGTCACAGCAACACTCAGTACACCACAGGATGACAAACTGACAGACAAGTTCATCTCCCTTTGTTGTTCCAAACCACTGTGCTCACTTCCTGGTCTCCTTTAGCTGTTCCAAACCCCACCAGCCCACTTCCTCATCTCCCTTAGCTGTTCCAAACCACCACTGGCTTGCTTGCAGGTCTCCCTTAGCTGTTCTAAACTGCCACCGGCTTGCTTCCTGGCCTCCCTTAGCTGTTCCAAACTGCCATGGATAGTAATTGTAATTATAATAAAAATTCTAGCAGATACTATCAGGCTTCTTCCTTATACATAAATTGAAAGATTTGACTTACATGATTTCTGAATTCCCTCAGACTTCAATTTCAGAAATGAATGCTGATATTTTATGATTCAGTATATTTTCATACTCCTTTCTTTAATTTGACATAGACTCTTCTAAGAACTATTTCATGCACACCCAGCAGAATGTCATGTGTTTTTATTTACACTACTCCTTCAGCTCTCAACAACTTTGCAAAGGTAGTCATGTCCCATTCTACAGAGAAGAAAATTAGGTAATGTGCTCAAGATCCCATAGCTATTCAGTGGTAGAGTTGAAATTAGATACTGGCCTACCTGGCTTTGTGTCCTGCTCTTTTCATTGCAGCATGCTGCAGAGATAGAACAATAAGTTGTAAGCCAATTACATACCTTAATACATTGATTAAATGCTTCTTCAGTCAATAACAGAGTCAGTATGTCCATGTACTCGCCAGTATACTTAAATATGCAAAGTGATGGGGAATGTACACCAAGCCTAAGGTCAGCAGAGGTCTCAGACCCTGGTGAATATTGACACCTCACAGGGAAAAACTTGTTGTTGTTGTTGTTATGTGCCGTGGAGTCAGGCCTGACTCATAGCAACCCCTCCTTGGGTTTCTGAGGCTCTATCATTATGGAAGTAGATTGCTCAACCTTCCTTCTGAGGAGTGGCTGGTGGGAAAACTAGGGAAAGTTAAAAACAAAACTTTCAGAACAGAATTTCAAATTCTCATGGACTCCAGACTTCCTAGAGCAAAGGAGGCTGGATGCGCCTGAAACTCTTGCCCTGAGATAATCTTTAAACAATAAATCAAAAATAGCCCCTGAAGTCTTCTTAAAACCAAACAGCAGTTTGGTTTAACTGATAGGAGGCAAAAAAAAAAAAAAAAAAGAGGTCAACAATTAAGGCAGCTTGATTGTTAACTCTTTTAAAAAATATCTAAAACCAAGCCAAACTCATTGGTATTGAGTTGATTCTGACTCATAGCAACCCTGTCAGACAAAGTAGAATTACCCTTTAGGATTTCTAAAGCTGTAAATCTTTCTACATCTTCTCCTGTGGAGCAGCTGGTGGGTTCAAACAGCTCACCTTTTGGGTTAGCAGTTGTGTGCTTAACTGCTGTGTCAGCAGGGCTCCTTAAGAACTATCTATATGGGATCAAACTGACAATAGCAGCTAGAAAGATTAGATTGCAACCTTAAGGGACAGTGAGTTTATGTTTATGGGGGAGGAACGACTCAGAAAAGTAGAGTGAGAGTAGTTGCACAACTCAAAGAATATAATCTGTATCACTGAAATGTACATGTAAAAACTGTTGAGTTGGTGTATATTTTGCAGTGTATATTCTCAACAGCAACAAAAAAAAATTTTTTTTAATTGTAATGACAAAATAAACCCCAAAACAACTTAATCTCAAAACTGAAAGATTTTTAAAAAAAGGATATTTGACTTCAGATCAAGTAGAAAATTGGCTAAATACTAAATTCTAGAATTTGTGGGTTTTTTTTTTTAAATAAACCTGTATTTTGTTTTTTGTTTTGTGGCTCTTTTATCTTAAAGGGAAAATTCATGATAAAACAGTAGTTTAAATACTCACTATGAAAAACAATTTTCTTAACTTAACATGATCTTTAAAAGCTATTATGAAATTTATAGACAAATCAGCTAGAATTAATCAAATATTTAGCATTCTTAGAAGAAAGTTACTAAATGAATAAAAGGATATATTTACTGCTGTTATTATATAATTCTATGTAGGGGCAATAGAAGTTATTTCTTAACAATTCTGAAATGGAGTAAGATTTAATAAATTACTTTTAAACAAAAGACATTTTATTTTGTTTTAAATGTGACTTCAATGCAGTCAGTTGACCATTGTTCATTCAGGATATTTCTATTTCAGCCTTTACCTATGTAAAGCATTGTTCTAGTTGCTATTGAAATAAAAACAAATTTATTACTAAGGTTGGCTCCTCAACCATTCAATATTTTGTAGTCTTTAGAAATAACTTTTTCTTTTTGCTGATATTTCAGCTCTCACCCTTCATTTCTTTTCTTTTTTTGTCCTGACGGGATAAGCTACAATATTCTTTCAAAATAAAGCAGAAAGTTTTATAATAGTTAGTCAATAATTAGTTATGGATTTTAGCAAGCACCAAATGCAATTTCAGAGTATCTCTAAAATGGCTTTGTGTATCTCACATATGATTTGAGTAATTTCAGGACTCTTTATTTTCAGATGATTTGAAAGGAGAGCTAGATGAATATGTCCAAAAATACCTCCATGGAAAAACTAAAGTAGTAAGGAATAAGAAGCGTGAGGGATTGATTCGAGGAAGAATGATTGGAGCAGCCCACGCAACAGGTATGACTGTGATTTTCTCTGCAGGGCTGAATGATGGCAGGGCGTTCAGAAGTGGGGTTCTGTCCTTAAAGCGGTTCTGGTCCTGCAGAAGCATATAAAAAGTAGTGTTTGGAAACAGGCATGCCAACCAGCTAGCTTAGAAGAGGTTATTCATTTTGGGAAAGGCCATTTTATAACTGCAAACCCATTCCTCCAAACACAGATTACAAGGAATTGAATACTGCTTCCTTATTGGCCTTTTTTATAATGGCTCTAATTGTTGGTTACTGCTTCTTAAATATGCTTTATATCTTGTTCACTTACATAAGCAGAAACTTAAAACCAAAATGTAACCAACCTTTTATAAGTTTTTAATATAAATTTTAAGGTATAGGTTGCCTGCTGTATAGAGTGGGAGAAAAATGTGGAACAAAACTCAAAATCATTAAAAAGAGCAGGCTTACTGGTCTGATAGAGTCTGGTGAAATCCCTGAGACTATTAGCCCCTAGTCACCCTTCAGACCTGGAATTGAACTTGGTCCTGTGGCTTCCAGCCAAGCAGTACACAGGCATACAGGGTGAACATTTATACCAGGTAGGTACGCTCCTTAGAGCAATCAACCATGGGAGATCAGAAGGGCAGTATTTGCACAGGGAGGTAGCTCAGAGGGCAAGAATGCATAGGAAAGAAGAACACAGGGAAAAAGGTAATCACAGGGAAGAAGTGAGAAAAGAGCTGTTACATTATGGGGATTGCGATGAATGTCATGAAACAAAATGTGTATGAACTGTTTTATGGAAAATGAATTTGCTCTGTAAACTTTCACCCTAATAATAATAATAATAATAAAGTATATGTTGCCCATGCTATTTGGTTTGAATTTTGCCACTATTTTGTAAGGGTGGAATGTGTACCTGTGAAGATAGATTGTGATTTTACTTGGCAAAAGGACATGACATTAAAAATTACATAACTATTACAGTTTTTTGTTTTTTTAAAATTCTCTCCAGATTCTTCTGATTCCATCAAGAGAAAAATCTCTTTCTTTTTTTTTTTATTTAACTGATACAGCTTTAAAAGCTTTCCATCATACACTTACCTCCTTTTTAAAAAATAAAGAACAGGTCTTTTTCACAAAATATACCTGTTAGCTTCAATGACATTATATTGATTCTGCTGTATTTGTTTTTATAATTACCTTCTATTTTGTTTAACAAAAAAAACCCTTAAAATAAATTTAAGTTTTAACAAATCAATCACTTTAAACATATTAGGTATATAATGTCACAGGAAGTATACAAATATGGCAAAAAAAATTATGACAGCAATTTGAGAATTGCTGGCTCTGGCGGGTGCAGGCATGCATTCCCCAGTAGAGAAAGCATGTACCCTGATCCTGTGCATGCCTTTCTTTTCGTTAACCCATTTCTAGGGGTTTGAGGTGGTTGACCCTGCTTGGTGACTTCACTCCTCCTTTATGTCGTAAGTTCTATTAAAACTAGGACTTCACTTTCAGAACTTTTCTTCTTCCTCTCTTTCTCTTAAATGCATACCAGTTGAATTCAATAGGATATTTTCTAGTCATGTACAAAGAGGCTATAGAGAAGCTCAATACCTATAGCTTAAACAAGGTCAGGAGCTGCCTGGAACAGACCATCAACTGCTCATAAGCAAGTTCAAGTTGAAGCTGAAGACAAACAAGTCCACAGGAGCCAAAATATGACCTTGATTATATCCCACCTGAATTTAGAGACCATCTAAAAAGAATGGATTTGATGCACTGAACACCAGTGACCAAAAACCAGATGAATTGTGACATGACATCAAGAACATCATACAAGAAGAAAGCAAAAGGTCATTAAAAAGACAGGAAAGGAAGAAAAGACCAAAACAGATGTCAGAAGAGACTCTGAAACTTACTATTGAATGGAGAGTAGCTAAAGCAAATGGAAGAAATGACAAGATACAAGAAATGAACAGAAATTTTCAAAGAGCAGCACAGGAAGACAAAGTGAATTATTATCATGAGATGTGCAAAGACATGGAGTTAGAAAAACAAAAGGGAAGAACACACTCAGCATTTGTCAAGCTGAAAGAACTGAAGAAAAAAATCAACCCTCGAGTTGCAATATTAAAAGATTCTATGGGCAAAATACTGAATGATGTGGGAAACATTAAAAGAAGATGGAAGGAATACAGAGAGTCACTGAACCAAAAAGAATTGGTTGATGTTCATTCATTTCAGGAGGTAGCATATGATCAAGAACCGATGGTACTGAAGGAAGAAGTAAAGCTGCACTGAAGGAATTGGCAGAAAACAAGCCTCCGGGAGTTGGTGGGATACCCATGAGATGTTTTAACAAATGGACCCTGTGCTGGAAGTACTTACTGGTCTATGCCAAGAAATTTGGAAAACAGCTACCACCCATTCCAAAAAAGGTGATCCCATATAATGTGGAAGTTATTGAACATCTTTGATATCACATGCAAGTAAAATTTTGCTGAAGATAATTCAAAAATGGTTGCAGCAATATATTCATGGGGAACTTCCAGAAATGCAAGCTGAATTCAGAAGAGGGTATGGAATGAGGGATGTCATTGCTGATGTCAGATGGATCTTGGCTGAAAGCAAAGAATACCAGAAATATGTTTACTTGTGTTTCATTGATTATGCAAAGGCATTTGACTGTGTGGATTATAACAAATTATGGATAACATTGAGAAGAAAAGGCATTCCAGAACACTTAATTGTGCTCATGAGGAACCTGAACATAGACCAGGAGGAGGTCCTTCAAACAAAACAAGGGAATAGTGCATGGTTTAAAATCAGGAAGGGAGTGCATCAGGGTTGTATCCTTTCACCATACTTATTCAATATGTGGGAGCTCTGGTGGCATAGTGCCTAAGGTATTTGACTGCTAACCAGAAGGCTGGCAGTTCAAACCCATCAGCCACTCCTCGGAAGGATGGTTGGGCAACCTACTTCCATAGTGGTACCACCTCAGAAATCCAAGGAGGGGTTGCTATGAGTCAGATCCAACTTGACAGCAATGAGGTTTTTTGTTTTTTTTTTGTTTTTTTTTTTTTAATTCAATCTGTATGATGAGCAAATAATTGAGAAGCTGGAGTATATGAAGAACATGGCATCATAATTTGAGGAAGAGTCATTAACAACCTGCAATACACAGATGACACAGCCTTGCTTACTGGAAGTGAAAATGACTTGAAGCATTTACTGATGAAGATTAAAGACTAAATTCTGCACTATGGTTTGCAGCCTCAACAAAAAGTAAACGGAAATCCTCACAACTGGACCAATAAGCAGCATCACGATAAATGGAGAAAAGATTGAAGTTGTCAAAGATTTCATAATGCTTGGTTCCACAATTAACGTCTGTGAAAGCAGTCAGGAAATCAGATGATGTATTGCACTGGGCAAATGTGCTGCAAAAGACGTATTTAAAGTGCTGAAGAGCAAAGATGTCTCTTTGAAGACTAAGGTTCGCCTTACCCAAGCCATGGTGTTTTCAGTAGCCTCATATGCATGTGACAATATCATATGCTGGACAATGAATAAGGAAGACCGAAGAAGAATTGATGCTTTTGAGATGTGGTGTTGGTGAAGAATACTGAAAATACCATCAAATCTGTCCTGAAAGACGTATGGCCAGAATCCTTGGAAGCAGGACCGTCCAGACTTCTTCTCACATACTTTGGTCATGTTGTCAGAAGGGACCATTCCCTGGAGAAGGATATCAGACTTGGAGGAGTGGAGGGTCAATGAAGAAGGGGAAGGCCCTTGATGAGATGAATTGACACAGTGGCTGCCACAATGGGCTCAGGTTTGGCAAGGATTGTGAGACTGGCACAGGACTGGGCAGTGTTTCGTTCTGTTGTACATAGTGTCACTGTGAGTTGGAGCCGACTCGACAGCACCTAACAGTCAAATACAGATTTACTGAATTGACCATGTTGAGTTATTGAAGGCAACAAGATAAATACCAGTGAAATTGTGGGATATTTTCAGGATTATGTGATTTGAAACATAATCTTAAAATGTAAAGTTACTATGAGTTTTTATTTTTTTTCAACTAATAATAGTGTTCTCTTTATCATTTGTTGGTCCTTGTTCAAATTTTTATAGTTTAGACTGTTAGAAGCAAGCAGGTTCATTGTAACAAGGTGTAATCTTCTTAGTGAAATTGGCTTTAATTGGAAAAAGTAACACTTTTAGAATTAAGAACAGCTATGAATATATTTCCTCCTCAAAGGAACTTTGGTTGAGTTGATCTCATTTCACAGTGAATAATGTTCATGCCGAACATTTTGCCTTTTCCCATTAAACAACAGCTGGTGATCTGTTCTACATCCAACTTAAGGCCATTTACAAAATTTAACTGCATGACTAATTCACAGTCATCATTGAAAACTTTTCTTTTTCTGTGCTGTCCTTAACTGAAATAGGAGGCATCTGGTGCTTTAAGCAACACATGTAAAATCTGTATAAATACATTTCATGGATAAGCTTTCAGAAGAATGATAATGCTACCAGATAATCAGGTTCTAAGTTTCTCATCTGCTCAGAATAACCCTGAAGTTATCAGAGAAATTCTTCTTCCCGCTCAAATTGTCAAGATGAGTTAACAATGCAGGATAAAATTTTATGACTTATATTTTGCAAACTAGAAGGAAGGTGTATGCCGTTGACTAATGTGAGTCGCTAGGTCCAAGAAAATTGGAAGAATGAGACAGGAGATGTGAGAAACAGAGGAGTTACTGTAAACCAGAGTAAATGGGAGTGAAGAGGGGGTGTGGCATCAGGAAACGATGGTGAGCAGAGGGATTGCATCACCAGCATAATAGACACATTCAGAATACTGACCAGAGGTGTACAATCTTCCCACACTTTGGAGAGAATTGCCATCTTGTAGCAATAATTGATTATCATAATGATGTTTCTGAAATGACAATAAAAATGTGTTATGTTCACTATACTCTGTTTACCAGGCAAGGAAACGTATTCTGAATATATACTCGATTTAGAAATAATTCACTTGGAATAATTGTAATAAAAATGTCTACACACAAGTGGTCACTGTGACTATACAAAAATACCTTGAATCACTCAGTGCTCAGCTACCCAAAGAACTAAATTGTTACTGTGGGGCTCTGACTGTTTGTAGTGAAGAGAATCTGAATTGTCTCTAGATTTTTTTTCCAAGAATTTTTGTTCATATTATTTGTGTAAGTTCTTGTGGCATAGTGCCTAAGGCATTTGAGTGCTAACCAGAAGGCTGGCTGTTCAAAGCCACCAGCCACTCCTCAGAGGGAAGATTAGGCAATCTATTTCCATAGAGATACTGCCTCAGAAACTCAAGGAGGGGTTGCTATGAGTCAGAATCGATTTGACGGCAGTGAATTTGGTTTTTGAATTTCTTCAATAATATTGGTATGACTCAGGCAGAATTCTTGGCTAAAAAAAATCCCTTATTTACAATTGTCAATAAAGCCATGGTTAAATATTATTTGGGGTAATAATAAGGGTAGCAGTTATGTTTCATGCCATGTAAATGTATTGTCCAGTTGAATTGGTAGTTGTGCCGAAATTGAGTTGCTGATCTCTTGTGGACCTCTTGTTGTTCTGCCTCTTTAGGAGAAGTTCTGGTGTTCCTTGATAGCCACTGTGAGGTGAATGAGATGTGGCTGCAGCCCTTGCTGGCTGCTGTGCATGAGGACCCTCACACCGTGGTGTGCCCAGTGATAGATATCATCAGTGCAGACACACTTGTATATAGCTCATCTCCTGTTGTGCGAGGAGGGTTCAACTGGGGGCTGCACTTTAAATGGGATCTTGTTCCCCTTGCTGAGCTAGGAGGACCAGAAGGAGCTACTGCACCAATAAAGTAAGGCTTCTCCTTTATGTTGGAAAAATTTCTGCTGGCAGAGAAAAAATAAAATATTTTAAAGGTACTTCCTTTTTCTTTGAAAGGAGCAAAAATCTCGGCTTAATTTCTTTGTCCACTAAAAGTTCTTGAGCACTTACTGAATTTTATGCACTCTGTTAAGTCCTAAGAAAAAGGAAAGATTTATGAATAAGAAATTATCCCTGCACTCAAGGATTTATAGCTTAGTGAGAATGGCAAATAAACAATATCCTGTAGTAACTGTTGCATAACATACTGTGGGAGTATCTCTCTCTCTCTCTCTTTTTTTTTTTTTTTTTTAAATGTCAAATGCCATGTTTTATTGATCTGGTCATTAATTAATCTTCAGTTCTTTGCTAGTATGAATTACACTGTGAAGAACATTTAATATATCATAAAAGCTTTTTCTATATTTAGGATTTCTAAGGATGGAGTCCTTCTAGTGCTATTTCTAAGTCAAAGTTCAAGAATTTTTTTCAGCTCTCATCACATGTTTTCTCATTTATAAATCTACTCTTATATGTTACTTTTCCTTTCTTATTTTTGTTTTCTTTTAATTTATTTTGTAGATTTTAGAGAGGTTTGTTTGTATTTCTGTTTTTTTAAAGTTCTCGGCCTAGTTCTGTTTGAACTTTTTTATTGTGAAAAATATGTAACAAGTATACAAAATATATAGATATACAGTTTAAGGAATGGCTCCAATGTGAACACCTATGTAACTACCACTCAGATCAAGATGCATCACTCAGAAGTACTCCTGAACAACCCTCCTTGATCCCAGCCCCTGCTCTCGTCCCCACAGATATTTATTAACCTGACCATAGGCAGTCATTTGTCTGCCTTTCCTTTATAGTTTGAGCAACTACGTATCTACCCCTGAACAATACCATTTAGTTTTGCCTGCTTTTGTACTTCATATAAACAGAACCATGTATTATATTGTTCCTTGCCTCTTTTACTCAGTAGTTTAAAAAGAAAAAAGAATTCATCCATGGTGCAGTATATAGCTATAATTTTTTTCATTACTCTATAGTATTCTGTTACATGATGTCTTGGTTCTCTTAAACCAAAAAAACCAAACTCACTGTCATTGAGACAATTCTGACTTATGGTAACCCTCTTTGGGTTTCCAAGGTGGTAAATCTTTATGGAAATAGATTGCCCCATCTTCCTTCCCTGGAGCAGCTGGTGGGTTTGAACCCCCAGTCTTTTGCTTAGCAGTCAGATGCCTTCGGCACCACGCCACTAGAGCTTCTCTTTGTTCTCTAGTGCTGCTGTAATAGAAATACCACAAGTGGATGCCTTTACAAACAAGAATTTATTCTCTGACAGCTTAGGAGGCTAGAAGTCCAAATTCAGAGTGCCAGCTCTAGGGGTTGGGTGAAGACCCCTCGACCTTGGGCTTCAGCTCTGCCTCTTATTCCAGGCCCACTGAAGCTAGAGACATCTCCTAATTCAGACAGCTGCTGGCTGTTGAAGCTGTTGAATCCAAGGTTGGTGGGTAAAATGGCACAATCCCAACATAACACAGCAGGCCCCTGGTTCAAGTCCAGGAACTAGAGATGAAGACTCAGCCAAATGCAGGATCCAAATGTGCAAAGAAAAAAAAAAAAAAA